TAATGTTTTATTATTTTATCTTTAATATAATTAAAGATTAAAATAATTAAGGATTAAATGGTGGTTAAGAGAGGTTGAGAACCACTCCACATTGTTTATTATATAAAAGTCAATAGTTAGTAAATCATATTTAAATAAAATCTGATTTTATTTAAATATTAATAAATATTGATTATTTTATACTAAAAAATTTAGTATAAATATGTGTAAAGAGTTTACATAAAATTTGCTAAGTCATTTTTCCAAAGTTCTTCCAAGAGAGAAACACATTCAAAGAGTTGAGTGTAATATCAAGAAAAGTTCTTGAAATATTTCCTTATAAAATATATATATTCTATACTATTGAAAAATAGAGAAGTTTCTACTAGCGAAGAAGCTATCGTCGGAACCAGATTTCGAAAGGTGGATACGTTTAGAGGGAAGACACGTGGATTCCTAAAGCGAGTAACCACAAGCACAAGAAGTGAAGTGACGTTACCAATCCGGAAACCGATTTCCTCAATCCATCTACGATTTTGAAGGAGTTCAAGATTAACGGTAAATATTGTATTTACTATCAAACAAATTAAAATTTGTATTATTACATGTTTTTAAAGATGACGATCTGTTAATTCGCCATATGTATGTACGAGATATGTATTTAATTGTTAAATACATGTTTTAAAAATTTTTAAATTCCGCTGCATATAGCTCGTATGGTACAGGCGAACCCAACAGAAGGAGCTTCAAGAGCTCAAGGCCCAGATCCAGGAGTTGCTCAATCTTGGTTTCATTCGTCTGAGTGTTTCGTCGTGGGAAGCGCCGGTCCTATTCGTAAAGAAGAAAGTTGGATCGATGCGCATGTGTATTGACTATCGGGAGTTGAACGCCCTTACAGTCAAGAACAAGTATCCCCTTCCTCGCATTGAGGATCTCTTCGACCAGTTGAGAGGAGCCAGTGTATTTTCGAAGATCGACCTGCGTTCTGGCTATCATCAGCTGAAGATCCGGGAGTCGGATATTTCTAAGACTGCCTTACATACCCGTTATGGCCACTATGAGTTCGTAGTCATGCCGTTCGGACTCAGCAATGCCCCGACCATTTTTATGGACCTTATGAATAGGGTCTTTCATCCCTTCCTGGACCAGTTTGTTATCGTGTTCATCGACGACATCTTGGTTTATTCTCGGAGCATCGACCAGCACAAGGAGCATCCGAGGATTGTGCTGGAGACTCTTCGCCGCGAGAAGCTGTATGCTAAGTTCTCGAACTGTGCGTTTTGGCTAGATCGTGTGGCATTCCTTGGCCACATTGTGACAGCGAGAGGCATTGAGGTGGATCCTAGCAAGATAGAGTCAGTGAGCAAGTGGGATACGCCAAGAAGTGCCGCTGATGTTCGTAGTTTCCTGGGGTTAGCGGGATACTACCGGAGGTTTATCGAGGGCTTCTCGAAGATAGCCCAGCCACTAACCAACCTTACGAAGAAGGCCGTGAGGTTCGATTGGAGTCAGAAGTGTGAGGAGAGTTTTCAGGAGTTGAAGAGGAGACTCACTACCGCGCCCGTTCTATCTATTCTCGATCCTACTTTGGAGTTCACCATCTATAGTGACGCTTCAAAGATGGGTTTGGGATATGTCCTTATGAAGCAGGGGAGGGTCGTAGCCTATGCTTCGAGGCAGCTGAAGCCTCACGAGCAGAACTACCCCACTCACGATCTTGAGTTAGCTGCAGTCGTTCACGCCTTGAAGATTTGGCGGCACTACCTCTATGGAGGCAAGTGTGAGATATTTACCGACCACAAGAGCTTAAAGTACATTTTCACTCAGAGGGAGCTGAATATGCGACAGCGTAGGTGGTTGGAACTGGTCAAGGACTACGATTGCACGATTAGCTACCATCTTGGGAAAGCTAATGTGGTAGCCGATGCCCTTAGTCGGAGGAGTTATGGCCAGTTATCTTGTCTTTTTATCGAGCAAGATGTCCTTCTTCGGGAGTTCGAGCGACTACAGCTAGAGGTAGTGGAGCCGCCTTCGACAACCAGGGGTATGTTGACCTCTTTGGTTGTGGGACCGACTCTTCGTGAGAGGATTGTCGCCGAGCAACCGAATGATCGTTTCCTTTGCCGGATGAAGGAGTTGTCGGAAGCCGGTAGAGTTAGAGGATTCGCAGTCGCATCTGATGGGGCCATGGTCTTCGAGGGTAGACTTTGTATTCCGAAAGTATGGGAATTGCGAAGGGAAATTTTGAGAGAGGCCCATAGTGCCCCGTACACCGTCCATCCTGGTAGTTCATAATTGTATCAGGATCTGAGGAAGTCTTTCTGGTGGCGAGGTATGAAGTGGCAAGTGGCAAGGTTCGTGAATGGGTGTCTCGTATGTCAGCAAGTGAAGGCTGAGCATCAGAAACCGAGAGGGAAGTTGCAGCCACTTGAGGTTCCCTTGTGGAAGTGGGAGTGCATCACCATAGATTTCTTGGTGGGATTGTCGAGGTCGAGGACCGGGCATGACTCTATTTGGGTGATTGTGGATCGCCTTATGAAGTCTGCCCACTTTCTGCCAGTCCGGACGACTATGAAGGCTAGTCAGTATGCCGAGTTGTTCGTGGATGATATTGTCAAACTTCATGGAGTCCCCGTGGAGATCGTTTCTGATCGAGACGCGAAGTTCACTTGTCAGTTCTGGAAGACCCTACACCGAGCCATGGGGACGAGGCTGGAGTTCAGTACAACTTTTCATCCTCAGACATATGGCCAGTCGGAGCAGACGATCTAGTACTTGGAGAACATATTGAGGGTTGTGGTCTTGGACCGTAGCCTAACCTGGGAGAGTGCCTTGCCTTTGGTCGAGCTGACTTACAACAATAGCTACCACTCCACGATCAAGATGGTCCCGTTCGAGGCATTGTATGGATGTAAGGTCCAAACACCCTTGTACTGGGATGAGGTCGGGGAGAGGACGATCATGGGTCCAGAGTTCATTCTTAGAGCTGCGGAGACAGTTGAGGCCATCCCGAAGCATATCTGGTCAGCCCAAGAGAGGCAGAAAGTCTATGCCGACAGGAAGAGGGATGAGCACGAGTATGCCGTCGGAGATCACGTCTTCCTGAAGGTCTCGCCCATGAAGGGTGTGATTCGCTTCGGGAAGAGGGGGAAGCTTAAACCGCGTTATATTGGGCCCTTCGAGATCCTTGCCCGAGTCGGGAACTTAGCTTATCGGCTGGCTTTACCACCTAGCTTGTCGGGAGTGCATGACGTGTTTCACGTGTCGATGTTGCGGAGATACGTGCATGCTCCCGGTCACGTGGTGGACTTCGGTGAACTGCAGGTCGAGCGAGACCTTACCTACGAGGAGGTACCGGTAGCTATTTTGGACCAGAAGGTCAATCAGTTGAGGAGCCGACATGACGAGACGGAGGCGACTTGGGAAACGGAGGCCGAGCTTCGGAGGCGATATCCGAACTTTGAGTTTTGAGCCCCCTTGTATTTTATTGATTTCTAGTTTTATTTTCGAATTCCGAGGACGAAATTCTTTGTAAGGTGGATAGACTGTAATACCCCGTTTGAATAAGGATTATTTGAGATTATTAATTATGATCTTTATTATTATTGATCGCCTATTTGTAATTATTATTATTATTTTTATTATTTTGAATGTCTAATTGTCATTAATGAATTAAATGCTTATCATTATTATAAAATGTTATTATATGTATTATATATATTATCCGGTTTAATTTATCGTTGTAATTGTATCCGAGCTATTTTTCCGAGCGAGTCTTAAGTTTAATAATCGGCCCAATTTATCGGAAGTATTTCCATCCCATTTGTTATGCTATTATGTTGACCCAATTCTTTTAATTAATTATCAATCTTTGGCCCAATTCATTTAATAATTTTTTGGGCCTGATTAAATTTGGCCCAAGAGATTTAAGTGCCGCCTGCATTTTATCGTGTTCAAGACCGAGTCTTCCCTCATCCTCCAAGTTCAAAGTTTGGTTCCGATTCAGGCGTGAAAGATATCGCACGTTCTCTTCTATCTCGTGTATATCTACATGATCAAGAACGACCTCTGTTGGTGTTATATACTTAAGCTTTGCTTTAGTGGATGTTACACTTGTTATTCCTT